TTGTTTTAAATAGAAAAAAATATATATATTACCCCACATAAATATTTTTTTTGTCATATTTGTAGTATTTATATAATATAAAATATCTCTCTATATATATAAACACGTTTATATTTAAAATATAAATATAATAGTAAAAATTACATACCACATGTAACAAAAAATAGACATTTCAATATAAAAATGTTGTACCTTTTAATTAGTTTCTTGTTATATTAACACTTGTACTATTAATATTTTCAGACGTCTGAAGTTTGAGAGAAAAAAAAAACATTTCTGCATTTCATTGGAATCCAGTTTAATTTGTCATATTTACACTTTATAAAGATGGTAAATCAAAATTAATACAGATTTTTTTTAATGTAGTGAGAGGGGTAATTCTCAATTCCTCCATTTTCTGTGAGAAGCTTAGAAGTGGAGATGCTGGAGAGAGGGATAATGTGTCTGGTGAGATGGGCTGTGGCGTTTCTGGTGGCTGAAATATGTTGTCCTGGCTTCCCTGGCTGTTTTCCAGAAAGTCGTCCTTGGTATAGACAAGTCCCAAGACGGCACGGTCTGAGGGCAAGGAGTATTCAGCCTCCGTGCACCCTTCAGGAACTTAACGATCAGGTCGTTTCTGCCGATCGATTGGCCAGCTTCGAGAGAATGGTTCGCCGCGATAGTTGCCACATATACAGTACTTTGAGCGTGGAGGGGGCACGCCCCTTATCCAGCAGCTCTTGCAAAAAGGTTAGCACGTGGGACACGTCACATGATATCAGGTCCAAACTTTGTGCAGAACACCAGTTAAGGAAGACTGATCATTTTAGGCTGTAAAGCTGCCTTGTAGATGGCGCTCTTGCCTCCAAAATGGTATTGCTTACTCTCGCTGGGAGCTGATTAAGCTCCCGTCGAGGCACCATACATGAAGACTCCACAGCTCTGGCCGAGGATGCCAAATCATGCCTTTCGCCTGTGAGAGAAGGTTCCTCCTCAGCGGAATGGGCCACGGGGCTGCTGCTGAGAGCTGCACTAGCTCTGGGAACCAGGCCTGGTTCCTCCAGAGCGGGGCCACTAGGAAGAGAGAGCACTCTGCCCTCCCGAAGACTGACCAAATCTCTTGAAACGTTTGAGGGTGTAGCACCCATTCGTCCGGGGCTACCTTGCCTCTGGACAGCATGTCTGCGCCAAGGTTCAATCTGCCCAGCACATGAACCGTCCTTAACGAGAGGAGTTCTCTCTGTGCCCAAAAAAGGAGGCGACGAGCCATCCTGCAAAGAGTGTGTGACCCGAGGCCGCCTTGGTGATTGATATAAGCCACCACCGTCATGCTGTCCGACCGGACCAAGACGTGGTTCCCCTTTAAGGCTGGAAGGAAGGTTTTCAGGGCTAAGAAAACCGCCAACATTTCTAGGCAGTTGATATGCAGGCGTTGCTCCAGGGCTGACCAGGAGCCGAACGCCGGATTACCCTCCAACAGGGCGCCCCAACCCGAGTTGGATGCTTCCGTTGTGACTACCTTCCTTCTGGAGGTCAGGCCTAACCTCATTCCTGTCTGGAACAGGTGAGAGGTCATCCAGGGGGCCACAACCTTGATACAGTGGTGGTCTACCCTGACAGGAAGCTGCCCCAGGCGCCAGGCGTGGGGTGGAACACAGGCTTTGAGCCAAAACTGAAGGGGCCGCATGTGAAGCAGGCCCAGAGGAATCACAGAGGCGGCTGCCGCCATAAGGCAGAGCAACCTCTGAAAAACCTTTAGGGGTGTGTCGTCCCCGGTTTGAGAGACGCCGCCAATCACTGAATAGTCAGGGATCGTTCCTGTCCGCATTTGGGCAAAGTCTAAAATTGTTCCCAGAAAGACAGCTTGCTGTCTGGGCAACAGCTGACTCTTGTGCAGGTTGATGATCAACCTGAGGCGCTCTAAGTGGCTGAGTAACAGCTCTCTGTGAGGAGCCAACTCCCGTTCTGACCTGGCTAGAACCAGCCAATCGTCGAGGTAGTTCAAAATACGGACTCCCATCTGTCTCAGAGGGGAAAGAGCCACATCTATGCACTTCGTGAAAGTGTGCGGGGCCAGAGACAGTCCAAACGGAAGGACTGTATATTGATAGGCCACTCCCTCAAACGCGAATCTCAAGAATGGTCTGTGATAGGGGGCTATGTGGATGCATTTGCATTCGCGTGAGTGTGTGAAAGAGTGTGAAGAGGAAATTTGCTCTTTATTGTATGTGGGTCCACTATCACAGCGGTAAAACATTTGGGTACGCGCTGCACCTGCAGGATGTGACCCGCTGGAAACAAAACTCCATTGCTCAGAGGTGCTCGGAGGGATGGAGGATGAAAGCGAGCTGTTTTTCGGGGCGTTCCGGCCGAGGTGAGAACAGAGCCTCTCCTCTTCCTCCCTAGCGCATCAGGATGGTTTAGACGGCTCGGGGTCCAGTACAACTCGTGGAAGTGTTTCGCCGTCTGGGGGCGCTGCTGCAGCCCAGGCTCAGGGCAGGCAGGAGACACATGAAGGACACAGCATGGAGGTACAAAATGACTTTAACACCGGACAAGGGAATATAGGGCAGACAACACTATAAATACTGAACTAAACGAGGGATAATTAACGAACACAGGTGAATCAAATTAACCAATAAGACAATGGAGAAAACTAGGTCATGGAGCACATGGGGAAAAAAACACACAGACAGTCCATGGCCGTGACAGCTTGAGATTTCTTGAAGGCAATGGCCAATCAGAGGTGTTAATACAACTTCATTCAAATAAAATGAAGGTCCCAGAGACATACAACAGCTCAACAACTCCTAGGTTTCAGTTTCTTTCTCTACTGAGTACTTCTTCTCCTCTGGCATTTAATAGCAGCTTGCATCCAAATGCTTTGCACTACTGCCATATTCCTGGTTTACTCTAATGTTTATTATATCATATATTCTTCTCATCAGCCCTGTTCTTGTTAAAACTCTGTAAATACATCTTCTGCCTTGTTCATTCACTCCCCATTCTAATATATCCTTTACTCTTGTTAATCCCATTTTCCTAATTCTTTCATCATGTTTTCTGTTTGTTCTTCACATTGTCTGTCTGCACATAATAAGCACATGTTCTAGTTTCTAAAACCTCACAATGATCACAAAGACCATTTAGGTGTTTGCCTAGAAAAGTTGAAAGTTTCCTGGTTTTGTATTTGAGAAGCATGCGCAAAATGGGTGTGTGCAGGGGCCGAAGACTGTGTACTGGTAGATGCCATAACTACACCATTCTGCTTCTGAATCTTTCTCTATTGACATCCATTCAAAAGTAGCTATGTTAATAGCTGAGTATTAATGCTTTTGTAAGCAACATATTCATGATAGATACAGACAGACAGATAGGGAGTGTGTGAAAAATTGAAGAAATAACTAAAAGAGATTATTGTTTTGTACAATGGCAATTTACCAGCATGTTTATTCTTAGACCAAAATTAATTTGACATAAAACTCTTTTTACCTTCCAATAATTTTTTTTTGCATAAAACGTGCTTACCACTTTTCTCATGTGCTCCTTTCAGTCACAGCATATGATGATCCCTTTCTAAATATATACTCACTTCACAAAAAAGGGAGAAAAAAAAGGTTTTGTAGATCAAGGGAGTTACACATACATTGTACCCCACTCTCCCTATAAACATTTTACAATGAAATGCATCAAAATATATAAACGCATTGATCTTTGCACTTGTGGGTCACATTAACCTTTTAAAGCTGAGAGTCCAATAAATGCAAATCATTTAAAACATGGGTGTACAATCCTATTACTGGAGGGTCAATGTCCTGCAGATTTGAGCTCCAACCAGCTCCAACACACTTGCCAGGAAGAATCTAGCAAATCTGAAGACCTTGACTGTATCCGAAATCACCCCCTATACCCTCATTCACTATTCCCTACATTAGGCCACTAATACAGTTCACTTAACGGAATGAATGAAAACGAGTGAGTGAATTCGGAGGACTGCCGCTTTTTCATAGTTTGTGCTTGCTGTTTAATAATCATTTGAAACTGGCAGCTCCAGTAATAAGATTAAAGGATTTATCTTGAACTCTGTCATGGAAATTATAGGCCTATATAGACTCTGGTTAAACAATTTAATAATCAATTTACAATTTGTACCTGTG